GGCACATGAAAGTTATATTCTGTGAACAATTCACCCTAAGTTTATCCCGTATTCACCTGCCTCTATTCAATGGAGATAAAGTATGCAATGCTACTAAGACGTGCGAACCATGGTCACACAACCAAAACCGCCAGGAACAAAACGAAGCAAATGATCAGTTTCAGACGAAGTTCGCTTGATCCGATTCTCGAATGATCTCCGTTTCTGATCGATCCACATAACTGCTACGAACCTATGTTGATCATTTAGAATAATCAATCTAAAACAGTCTCAATCTAAAGACGTCGACCACACTACATTTGGACTGATACAAACAGATCGAATAGAATTTGTTCACCGTTAGCAAAGCTAGAAACGGCAAATGCTCCATCTACCTATATTTTGCTAACATATTAGCAACAATTTCTTTGCTCCAGTATAGTAGAATTCACAAATGCACATGGCTGACTAACCATTGTCACGGACTCGAAGGTACCGATCATACCTTGACCAAACACCGCAAAAGAGGTGTCATGAGGGCAAAGACATCAGCATACACCCCTATTGTTCACACCTTGCTGATCAGCAAATTCACCGTTCTGTCGTCGCAATCCCATGTGAAGACCACACAGTATGGCAAAAGTAACAGTTCGCCTGCCGCGCGATTTCCTACAACACCTTAGTGCAAGAGTACGCAGTGAACATCGGTAACTCTCTTAGATCAAATTCTTGGTAACCTGATTCCAGCGACTATGTGGATACGTGGGAAACAATTCCAGATGACCACGTGGAAGCGCTCATTCGAAACAAAAAAAGTTAAAGTATTTCATATTTCCAGAAAAATGTGATCTATCTGACAGTTCTTTCAGAAGCACTGGTATAATTGATTTACTCAGATATGTAAGGAAACATATGAAGACATATACTACGTATCCAGAATTGTCAGGTTGATTTACTCGCAAACGGCCGCACAGTTTACTAGTCTTGAAGAAATGCGCTGTGCAGCAACAGGTTTACGCATGCAACTAAACAAACAATTTAAAACCAAAAAATCCGCTATACCAACGTTTAGTACTAAACACCCTGAAATTTTGCATCGTTCGTTGCTTAACTGGTAAAAGTAGAAAAGGTAAGTTCTATTATGTCTGGTCCGCCGAACGGACCACCAGTACAAACTAACGGTCTTGGTAAGCGTACGCTAAGTAAACAAGATGGGAATGTTATTGTTGGTCTGGCCATAACACAGTGTACAGTACTGATATGGGTATCCTTTCTTCCCGCACAGTAATGCATTCGCTTACCATTGAACAAGTGTCAATGAAGATCTTAGATGGCCGCGTTTATGTCAAACGGCTGAAGAACAATCGCACTCAGCCTGTACTTCTGCCTTGACCAAATTTTCACTCTTCAATTACCTTCCCACGATTCCAATTACCTTTTTTTTACTTTTCTCAATTTTAACGCTGCATTTGATTCAATACGTCGTTCTACAACTGAAAAATCTTGTAATGCAGTAACAAATAGAGCAAATCGTTTCTATTATGGAAAAAATGTATGCAGGAACGCTGTTTGTTGTCAAAGTCAAAGGATAGCAATCTGAGTTGTTCCCCATTAACTATAGAGTTTGACAGCGAGATGCCTCCTCGCCTTTGCGATTCAGCATTGTTTACAAATTTCTATCCGAACTGTGTTGATCCTGGTAAAAAAAATGCCTCTTTCTAGAAGAAAGGGGTAGTTCAAGGTATCGGCGTAGATATTTTACTGGCATGGTCAAGATGAACAGTACTGGAAACGGGTTTTGCCGAGTGGCGGCTTCCGCATGCAAATGAACTGCTAAAAACTGTTCAGAAGCCCACAATTATGCAGAACTCATCCCAGACAGCAGATCTGAAAGTAAAACATGGATGTAAAGTAGTAGAGATTGGCCAGTTTAAGTAACTCGGTTTCGTCATAGGCATAATTCGGAGTTAAATAGGAGGATTGCCCTTGGCATAGTGCTTTGAAAATCTGTCCAACATTTTGGCTGAAAAGCAAGTATTCTCTTCTACAAAGTCCGCCTGTGCCATAACTCGGTGAAGTCCATGTCGCCGTACAACAAGGGTGCCTGTTGGACTAAAAAAGCGCCAATATCGATAGCGTTCGATGTACTATAAGGGTTATATGGCAGAACCACAAGTCATGATTGCAACCGCGTCCGGGCAGGAATGTCCTAAGAATATGTGGAGATTAAGAAATAGAGCTCTGATCTGTTAGGCAAACTGATGCAGCATAAACAAATTATTCCAATTCATAAGCTCTCATTTGGGAATCGAAATACGGTGGGCGTCGACCGGGACGTCAGAATCAACATGGATGAAAAAGGTTGAGGCAGATCTGCTCCTGCTAGAGGAATTGTTGCTTCTATGCTGCAATAATGGTAACTTATAGCAAGGGTATTAAAAATACGAGGGCAGAGCGGATATCACATACCAGAGACTTTCTGCACATGCAAAATGGTCAAGGTGATGATATCTATAAACATAGACTACATCCATTACATGCTTCATGCACGAATTAGCAGAATATGTCCACCAACGAAGCTGAATACTTTCTTTAAGCAACCCTTCACTTCAAAACAACGTCCATCAGCTATCAATGAGTCATCCCCCTGCCTCAAATGTAAACAAAAATCGCATCTCCCATAGACTCACCAATCCGCTAAGTCGTCGTCAGCTATGATGTCGACAAAACGCGGTAACTGTCCAGCTGGTGCCGTTTCCGGCAGCTCCTGTAGCGTAAAGACCTGGTGGTCTTTGTATCTGCAGAGGCCATATTCCGTTTCCAACGGATTGTTATTTTCGTCCTAGAAATAAGAAGTTGCTACTGCAAAAATTCTTAAAAGCTAGCAGCGGATTAAAATACTTCGGTAGGATAAACAGCGTTAGTCAGATATGCATCGTAGGACGTAAAGTCGGAATATTTCTTCTCGATTATTTTCGCAGTCTGCGGACAGTAATGAACGCTTCTAATTACTTTCGGGCGCACAAGCGAACCTAGTGAGTGAAAATGGTTCGTCCAAGAAGCGTTTGCAAATCGAAGGTAATAACAACTTTGATAAAGTTTTGCATAAATGCAAGAAACAAATAAGATCAAAAATCAGTAGCCTTCAATCATTTTAAGGAGTCAGTCACAACTGTGTTTGGTAGTTACATGAAATTTCTGTAAAACAGACTTTACGTTTTCTAATCTTGTTACAGCAGAAATATCGCTTTCTGAGTTGGCTTAAGGCATTCCTTCTTTCATGTACGACATCGAGTAAACTGTGGTTTCCAGGTCCTGCTGCTTTACGTCCATATTTATGAAAACGACCGCTCTATTAGTTATAAACCTAATGAAGATTCATCTGAAAATCTCGTGCTGTCAAACATTATTCAGCACACACATTCAACGAAGCACCCTATGTTTATTCTTCAGGAAACACAGAACTGATATGTCTTTAAGGAAACAGTGTTCCAACTGTCCCTATTATTTCTCTTAAGCGTCAACTGATGAAAAAGGAATATCGCTTTTTGGCCACTGGCACATTCTACTTTACTCATGGACGTTGTTCATCTTATCTTCATTTTACTTATCCATAAACCTGTAAATGTTTTACTGCGAAAAGCCGCAAATCAGTTCTGCTGATCGAGCGGATCAGTAACACTGACAGAATAGAATGCAGCCTACTAGTTTAAGAAGGCTGGATGTCAGCAAAATAAATGGAGTGAAATTTTAAAATGCAAATGTTTTGAGACAGCAAGAAGAAACATTTCAACCTTACATTTAGTCACGATCCCCTCACAGCACACCAGGTTTCCAAGATAATACGACTTCAATGTTCTTGGGTTGACGTGGCGTACGCCAAAGCTAAACGCGAACGATGTAAGAA